TAGGATCAAATGCAAGCAAGCGCTCAAGTAAACGCAAAGCTTGTGGATCTGCACCAGGGAATTTTTGTGAAAAAGGAACAGGGTGCTTTTTCCACAAGCTACTCAAATATCTTCTAGCCTTTTCATTCCGAATCTGTGGCCAAAAGGAACAATTGGAAATGCTGAGAGACAGTGACTTTGACAGAACTAGAATAAGAATTATGTTTTAACTTGATAGGAAATTAATTAAACAAAAACTTCTGCAAAAGCAAAGAGATAGATAAAGGTAACAACCGCTGCTATGGATTCCATGGAAGGAGTGCCAAGCAAATCAGTCACGAGGTCCAGTTGTTGCACCACATTCTTCCCAGGAAACAAAGGTCTTCCCGTTATCAATTCTGCAAATATGCATCCTATGCTCCATATATCAATAGCAGGGGTGTACTGCAGAAGAAGAAATTTCAGAAAACGCATTACTAAATACTTAAAGCAATTTCATTCAAAAGAAATATGTTATAATTCAAAAACAAATAATTGCGAGCTAGTTAAAAACAAAATCAGTAACCCATACCTTGGAGAAAAATGAACCACAGAGTTCAGGAGCACGATACCATCGAGTCGCCACATAATCCTTGGAAAAGCAAATATATTGATTAGAGGCTACAACATAAAATCAATATGAAGTACAATGCATTGTTAAAGGACTAATGCGTTAAAAAAGCTGATAAATGCTAATATAGTACTATAAGTGACAACTATATTGAATGAAGGAAACACATACAGTCCAAAAAATAGCAGAAGGAGCATCAGTAAATGATACACGCGCAAGCCCAAAATCACAAATCTTCAGTTTGCAGTCCGCATTAGCAAGAATATTTTTTGGCTTTAAATCACGATGAAAAACATTTGCTGGTAAAATGAAGACAAAATCATCAGAAAGATCTTTATTACATCGACGACGACGCGATAAGAAAGAACTAACCCGAGTGAATATATTTGAGAGCTCGAAGAAGCTGGTATAAGAAAAACTTATGATGCTCAGGAATGAGATCATCATTTGCCTTTATAACTTGGTCGAGATCAGCTTCCATCAGCTCAAAAACAACATACATATCTTTAAATTCTCTTCGACAAGGAGGAAGCATTATATGCTTTATTTCCACAATGTCTTGATGTCGCAGCATCCGAAGGAGCTTAATTTCTCTTAAAATCCTCGTGGCATCAGAAACATGCTCAAACACATCTTTCATCTTCTTAATAGCTACCCTCTCCCCTGTGTGGGTATCAACAGCAGACGCAACGACGCCATAGCTTCCTATGCCTATTATTTCCTGTATTTCATATTGACTTGCCTCACCATATTCCGTGAAGAATTCTTTGTCAAACATGCTCTGCGTTAAATAAAATGATTATTTCATATTTTGAACCCCCAAAAATAAAAATAAAAAATTAAATCCAGCTTAACATATTAAACGTGTTAAATTCACGCTTAACGAGAATACCTTATTACTCCTCTAGCATCTATCAGCTGCTAAACTTGTTAAATAAAAAAATAACAATAATAATTTCCATTTTACTAAAGATTCGAGATTCGCTAGATCAATTCTCTTCATTAATCAATAATTTCAGAATTTCACAATAAATACACACATAAATTGGCTAAATTTCACAAGAAAGCAGAAAACTCCATCAAAATTAAAATAATAATAATAATAAAAAAAAAGAATTCGAAAGCTTACTGTTGAGTTGGTTAATACGGAAGACGAATAAGCTTGTCGGTGGGAAAAACCTGCAAAATGATACGCGACTTGTTGAGCAAAACGCAAGCGTATCTTTATATACAGTAACTTTCCATGAAGCAACAGCCACCAAATTTGAACTTTTCAAGTTGACAAATTGACCTGTTGTCAAGTTGTTTTACTAGTAAATGAAATCATTTGAACTCGAATAACAAATTAAAAAATTAATAATAAGAAAATAAATAACTGGAATGGAATGATTCAGAGGAAGATGAATTTCGAATCAGTTGAAGAAAACGACACTCTCAATTTAATATAAATTTAATTAGAAAATAAAAAGACAAAAAAAATCCTCAAAATGCGTGCCTATCTTGTCGCCGAGAATACAGGAAACTTCAGAGAGGAAGAAATAATAAAAAAATTATAAGAGCGTAACTCGACAGGCCTTACCGTATCAAACGCTGTGGAGAGCTGAGTCAGTGACAGGTGGAGCTCCGAAGACTGAGAGTTGAAAATTCGGCGGTGAGGAGATCGTCGCGCGTCTTATCGCGTACAGCGTCGTTTGGCGTGAGTGAGGAGAAGATAAAGAATTGAGAGCGTAAGATTTGATTCGTTGCATGGATGGCTGGTGTTTCATGGGGCTTGACTTAAGCGTCGAGTGTAGGCCCCGCCGTCTCAGCTGTTCTGTTGCGCTGAGAGCCTCCAGTTTCTTGAATTTTTTGTCTTTTTAATTAGGTTTTTAAATATGAGGGAATTCAAGGACTGCAGTGAAATAAATTATAAATAATACCCACCAGAATTTCCGTTTGAAGAAGAGTGGGCTTGTGGCAGAGAAAAGAAGACACCTGTCTATCAGTGCCGTCTAAAATTGACTGAATTATCATACGACGGTCTTAATCAGGGGCGGACCATGAGGGGCAACTGCCCCAAAATATTTTAAATTTAATTTTCACCTCTAAGATATTAATTCTATTACAATTATGTCCTCCTCATCAAACGTCAACTCCCTCAACTTTTTAAAAAAGGTTAAAGGTTTTTTGTTTAATAGAAAACCTTCTGTTTGGCCTTTTTGAACAACCATAGTTTTAAAAATACAACCCTAACCCTTGTGTTTGGCATTTTTTGTAGTGAACACTGAACACTTGTTGAATGCTGATCATAGAAATATGATCCTTACTCCTATTTCTAATGGACTACTAGGTTATTTTGTTTAAATTTGAAGGAAAAAAACGTTTTTACTAAAATCTGTCAATAATGTTGAGAAGTTAATATAATTTTTGAAGATTAAATTAATAAAATTGTTGATAAATTTGAAAGTTAAATTAATGACATTTCCGAAGCCAAGAAGTACTCACTACAAAAAAAGCCAAACACACAGGGCTAGGGTTGCTTTCAAAAACCAGGGAGGGCTAGGGTCACATCTTTTAAACCAGCAAATGCTCACTACAAAAGGCGAAACACATAGGGTTTTTAATAAAATTAAAAATGGAAAAAAAATAAAATCCTTAAAAGGGGGATAATGGAGTATTTGAAAATATTAGAGTAACCCAAGTCCTAAATTTTAGAATTATAATAAAAGGGAAATAAATTAAAAATTAGGCTCAACAAACATAACATTCCCTTAAAAATTAGGAAGAATTTCAGTAATAAAACTTTAAGAAATGTGATTGACAATTTTATAAATTTTAAAAGAGATTTTTCAAATTCTAAAATTAATGTAATATTTTAACTTTTTTTTATCTAATATCAATTATTAAATTTTTTCCTATTTAGTCACTCCAAAGTATCAGTAAGTGTATTATTTGTAAGCGGATCTTGATTGAATGCATAAGAGAACTGTGCAGTTCAAGGGAAGAAATATGATGCAAGAATACAGTGACTAATGGCCATTTGCCAAAACGGATAAAATATAAGCATAATTCATCTAAAAAGCGGTAGAATAATGGAAGGATATATAAAGCATCATGTAGTGCATTCTCCTCAAACACCTGGTCTTTCCAATCCAATCAAGATTCATTGCCTATGCTTACGTCTAACATAAAAACGTAGGCTTCGATGATGATCTTTATTACCTTCTGCATTGGAAGGTCTCCCTTGACCCTCTGGCTGATGCTGCAGCTTCTGCTCAATATTTTGTTGTTGATCTGAAGGCAATGGCAATATAACACTCATAGTTGCATCGGCATCTAGTTTAGGTCTGCAAGGCGTCCTGGCTCGACTCCTTGATCGATGAGGATGCTCATTGTCCCGGTGTGACTCAGGTGCCTTCTGTTGATCTCCATTACCTTCTGCCTTAGAAGGCCTTAATTGACCCTCTGGCTGATGACGCAGCTTCTGCTCACTACGTTGTTGTTGATCTGTGGGCAATGCCAATAATAAAATCATAGTTGCATCGGCATCTAGTTAGGTCTACAAGCGTCCTGGCTCGACTCCTTGATCGATGAGAACGTCGCTCATTCCAGGTGTACTCGGGTGCCTTCTGTTGACCTCCATTACCTTCTGCCTTAGAAGGCTCAACTGACCCTTGGCGGATGATCTTGCTTCTGGCAATTCATGATGATGTCTGAGAGCAGTATAGCATTTGCAGTTGTGTCTGCACCTAGCTGGTTGATATCATGCTGTGTGAGAGGGCGGTAAACATTTCTGGTTGTGTCTGCATCTAGCTTATGTCTACGACTCCTTGTGGTTTGACTCCATGGTAGCTGCTGTTGCTTTTTAACCAGTTGTGACTTGGGTGTCTTCGGTTTATCACAAGTCTCAGTAAGCTGTTGTGCCTTCAGACCACATACAACGATATGCTTCCAATCTCCATGAAATCTTTGCTTGCTGCTGCAGGTGCACCTGTTCAAGGACTCCTTAAGATACTCTTTTACGGCAGGCAAGGGAGATTCCCCAACCATGAGTTTTCACTAACACCCTCTCCGTTCAAGCAATATAAACTCAATAACTTGGTTTCAACTTGTTTGATGCTCTAATGATCGACTTTCCCCCTTATTAATCTATGTTCTCGTTCTTGCAACTGCTTTTGTTCTTTGATCACTTAACATTAGATGCTCTGTCTGTGCATGGACTCTCTGTCAGCCGCTCTTGTTGCTCCATACCCCAATGGTTTCAGAAGCACTTGGGATATTTACTAATTGATCTTCTGCTCTGTCATTCCTAACCTCAGTTTGTTGTCTTGTAGCATATTTTTTCTTCAACACCTATTTTGCTGCCTGGACACTGACATATATTCTTCGCACACTTCAAGATGTAGTTTTTGCATACCATTCAGTTCTTCAATCACCTATGTTGTTGATTTTGGGACAATTTGTCTTCATCACTTAACTCCTCACTTGGCCCTGTAACATCACAATAATGAAACGCATTATTATTTTTTCACTAATCAAAGTAATGTCAAAAGATTAATACAGCCACTTGATAAATCTTAAAATCTGATAAGCCAGCAGTGCATAAAGTCTACACCCTTAAAGGGGTAAAAAGCATTAGAAAGGTTGTTAAGGAGAGGGACCACAAAGTACAGGTGTCATTGGGGTGGATTCTGTTTTGGAGAATACAAATGTGTGAGAAGGGTAATTGGGGAAAAGGGAATTAGTATATATCAGCAGAGTTGTAGTAGGTCTTTATCTTTTGAATTTGGGTTGATAAAAAGTGGAGGTTCCTGGCTCCTCGAAACGCCAGGGTTTAGGATAATTCCATCCTCATCTGTTCTTTTGCTTCATTTCTTCTGTTAATACAAGTAGTGCAGGACTTGCATGTGTCTTGAGTTGTGATTGATGTTGTGTGTTGGTTGATTTGTGTGAGAATTACTGTTGGTTGGGTGGTATTTGATTGAATCTAAAGGTGGTTGATTCAATGGTATCAGAGCCAAGTGGGGAATGGTAAAATCCAAAATGGAAACTAGGATGGATAATGTGGAGAAGGAGATGAATACAGTAAAAGAAGACATAGGATCCTTGAAAGTTGACATGGGTAGTGTGAAAGAATATTTGACAGAAATGAGGGAGTTAATGCGCATGAGAGAAGAGGAGGAAGGAAGAAGAGAACAAGAAAGAGAGAAGACTTCTTCATCGGCAGAGAACAGAATGTTAGTAGGGATAAGGAATCAGAACGTGAGACAGTGGGAAAGACGAAAAAAGAAACAACCGGAAACTGGAGTTACCATCTTTAATGGTGAGGATCCGTTGGATGGTCCTTCAGAGCAGATCGCTACTTCGCCATTAATCAATTCCAAGAGACAGAAATGGTGGGAGCAGCAGCAGTTTGCATGGAGGAAGAGCTTTAAGCTGGTATCAATGGGTCGAATCCAGAGACCTTTTCAGTCGTGGGAAACTTTCAAGACAGCCTTGATTGACCGTTTTCGACCCTCATTTAAAGGATCAGCATATGAAGCTTTGTGGCCTTGGAACAAGAGGGGACAGTTACTGAATATAGGGAACAGTTCGAACCAGTGCAGCACCATTGAAGGACCTGGGCGATGAACTGCTCAAGGGATTTTCGCGAATGGCTTAAAGGAAGATATAAAAGCTGAGCTTCGTTTGTCTCAGCCAAGTACGTATTGGGCTGATGGATCAAGCCCACCGGATTGAGGAGAGGAATTGGATATTGGATAAACAAGGCCCAAGCCATTTAGAAACCAAATGGGCCGTGGAGAGCCATATTACGGTCAGCCCAAACCCGGAACTTACGCGCACTAACTGGTCGACTTCAGTGCAAGACCACCAGATTCTTCTTCGTTAATGCCAACCTTCAACAAGATCACCGATCGAAAAGAGAAGACGACGGAGTCTGTGGGGTCCGTCAACCGATCTGACAATTTCCGGCGGCTTTCTGATGCTGATTGCAGTACAAACGAGAACGTGGCTCTGTTACCGCTGTGACGAGAAGTATGGACCCAACCACCGATGTAAAAACAAGACGCTGCAAGTGCTGTTGCTCCGGATGACGACGAGACAACACCCGCGGAAAATGGAACAGAAACTGACGAAGAAGTCAACGGTGAAGGTAAATCTCTAGCCCTGTCGATGAACTCAATTGGGGTATTTCTTCGGGAAAAACATGAAATTACAAGGGGAGATTGGGAATGAAAGGGTGGTGGTTTTGGTGGATAGTGGGGCTTCCCACAATTTTGTGTCCCACGGGGTTGTACAAAAGTTAGGGCTGAAGGTGGATGAAGGAAAGCCTTTCGGAGTAATGGTTGGGGATGGATGTACCATTCGGGGTAAGGGGATTTGTAAGGCAGTGAGGCTGAAACTTCAAGGAATTGAGATACAGCAGGAGTTTTCCCTTTTGATTTAGGAGGTGCAGACGTGTGTTTTAGGGGTTACATGGCTGAGTAGCTTGGGGGATGTGAGTGCCAATGGCAGAGATTAACTATGGAATTTGATTGGGAAGGGAAGAGGGTGAAACTACGAGGGGATCCCCTACTGTAAAGACAGGGTATCACTTAAGACTATGGTTAGGACTTACAGGCTGCAGGAAACGGGTATGTGGTGGAATTTGGATCCATAGGGTTGAAGGAAGAGCCAATACAGGAGGAAACTAAACGGGGATAATTGAGTTAATAGACAGGTACCCACAACTGTTTGACCAGAATCCTAAATTACCACCCATAGGACCCATGACCATGCCATAGAACTTCAACCGGTTCTAAACCACCCAATATCCGACCCTACAAATACCCGTATTTTCAGAAGAATGAAATCGAGAAGCTGGTTGGGGAAATGTTATCTGCAGGGATTATCCAGCCTAGCGTTAGCCATACGCCAGCCCTGTTTATTGGTCAAAAAGAAGGATGGAAGTTGGCGATTTTGCGTGGACTACAGGGCATTGAACGATATTACCATACCGACAAATTCCCAATACCAACCATTGAAGAATTACTTGATGAATTAGCCGGGGCAACAATTTTCACTAAACTGGACCTGAAGTCAGGGTATCATCAAATCCGGGTGCGCGAGGTTGATGTTCCCAAAACAGCCTTTCGCACACATGAGGGGCATTACGAGAGTCCTGGTGATGCCTTTTGGACTCACTAATGCACCCTCACATTCCAAGCATTAATGAACTCAGTCTTTAAGCCAGTTCTCCGTAAATTTATCCTGGTCTTCTTGATGAATCCTTGTGTATAGCCCCTGCCTAACCACACACATTCAGCACTTACAACTCACTTTTCAGATTTTGCAGGAACACAATCTGGTGGTTAACAAGAAAAAGTGCTCTTTGGCCAATCTAAGCTGGAATATTTGGGTCACCTAGTCTCGGGTGATGGAGTTGAGGCAGATCCGAAAAAGATTGAAGCCATGGTCTCTTGGCCGCGACCGGTAAATGCGAAGGGATTGAGAGGTTTTCTTGGGCTGACGGTTATTACCGGAGATTCGTAAAGTTATGGTTCAATTGCACAGCCCCTTACTCAGTTTAAAGAAGGACTCTTCATTTGGAATGATTGGCTCAATTGGTTGATAGATCAAGGAAACCATGACGACCGTCCCTGTTTTAGCAGTTCAGATTTCACACGGCCCTTTGAAATTCAGACAGAAGCATCGGGAAGAGGTCTCGGGGTGTTTTGGTACAGCAGTCTCGCCGATCGCATTTCTCAGCAAGGCATTCTCCTACAGCTAGGTTGAAATCGGTTTACGAGCGTGAGTTAATGGCATTGTCTTTGCAGTTAGGAAATGGAGCCATTATCGTTGGGCAGAAAATTCTCATCAAAAAATGATCAGCGCAGCCTCAGTTTTTAACGGATCAACGATCAAAAACCCGGAACAAAACAAATGGATCTCCCAGAATGGGTTTTACCTTGACATTCAGTATTACCCAGGGGCCTCCAACAGAGTAGCAGATGCTCTTTCCCGAAGAGAAGATGGAACGAAGAGGTCCACCTTTCAGCATTATCTACGGTACAGTTTTCTGAATTTGAGGAGATGGCCACGGAAGACATACAGATCCGAAACTCAGGGAAATCATTCAGGATCTTCTGTGATTCTTCTAGTCGACCCAACTATCATATCCGCCGGGGCGACTGGTCACATTATTATTAGAATCTCGGGGTCTTGACGAATTCAGAAACAGGCGGACAGAGCGGGGCTATCGCACTCACAGAAAAGGAAAGGCTTACTAAGGCGGTAATGACATCGAATTGGCGGTTACCTGAATAGGATTATAACTAATCTCTGATCGGCGATTAGATCGATCTGGTGAGGAGAAGGGTTGTTTACCCAGAATCCATAGAAGAGGAACGGGCATAGGTTATAGTTGTTCCTTTTCAAACTCTGCAGCTGACTAAAGTCAGCCAATGGTTACCGAACTAGACTAGCATGATCAAAATCTCGTTCTTTATTGATTGATATCCTCGTAAGCTTTCTTTACTTATTTTTTATGTTGGTTATTCCAAAAGAGTCCAGATTTGTGTCCAAATTACTGACTGAATTCCATCAGAGTCCTAGTGGCGGTCACTCGGGTTTCTTCAGAACCTACAAAAGAGTATCTTCAGTAGTTTATGGGAAGGTATTCGGGGAGATAACAAGCTTCATTAAAACCTGTACCACTTGTCAACTGAATAAGCAGTCATACATTAAAACCTGCCGGACTCCTCCAGCCTCTCCCCATTCCAGAACAGGTCTTTGAGGATATTTCTATGGACTTTATCGGGGTGCCACGTTCGAAGGGTGTTGATACCATCTTTGTTGTCGTTGACCGCCTAACCAAGTACAGCCATTTTTTTAGTCTCGGCCACCATACAATGCAAAGGATGTCGCCACCATTTTGTTAAGGAAGTGGTCGTCTGATGGTTTCCCAATTCCATTGTTTCTGACAGAGACAAACTCTTTTAGAGTCAGTTTTGGCAAGAGTTGTTCAAGGCTAGGTAATGTTCTGAAATTTAGTTCGGCTTACATCCGCAGACTGATGGGCAAACGGAGGTGGTTATAGGTGCCTCGAAGCGTATCTACGCTGTTTCTGCAGTGCTCAGCCCCCGCAGTGGCCTAAATGGCTTCACTGGGCAGAATACTGGTACAATACAAATACACGGGTCCATCCGCATGCCGCCTTTCAAGGCCCTCTATGGACGAGATCCTCCCACCCTTTTAAAACTCACAGACTGTCCATCTGCGTGGAAGAGATCAATGTCCAACTGACTGAACGTAATGCCATTTTAGGGGAGCTTAAGGACAATTTACTTGCGGCTCAAACTCGCATGAAACAGAATGTGATCTTCATCGGCGAGATGATTGTTTCCAGCCTGGTGACTCAGGTTTCCTGAAGCTTCAGCCCACAGGTTTAAGTCTCTTGCCCGAAAGATGAACGAGAAACGCCCGTTTCTATGGTCCCTACCCTGTTCTGGAACGCATAGGACCAGGGCTTATAATTGGATCTGCCGTCCACAGCCCGCATTCATCCTGTCTTCCATATTTTCAGCTCAAGAGGAGCTTACATCAGTCGGTACCCATCCAACCCCTTCCTGACTCACTCTCTGAAGATATGGAATTAATGGTCCAACCAGATACTGTTTTGGCGATGCGAACCCTGTCAGATGGGTCTAAAGAAGGTTCATCAAATGGCAGCATTTACCTGATTTTGAAGCCACCTGGGAACCATTTGAAATGATTCGATTACAGTTCCACAATTTCACCTTGAGGACAAGGTGAATCTTCAAGGGGGGGTATTGATAAGCCAGCAGTGCATAAAGTCTACACCCTTAAAGGGCGTAAAAAGCATTAGAAAGGTTGTTAAGGGAGAGGGACCACAAAGTACAGGTGTCATTGGGGTGGATTCTGTTTTGGAGAATACAAATTGTGTGAGTAAGGGTAATTGTGGAAAAAGGGAATTAGTATATATTCAGCAGAGTTGTAGTAGGTCTTTTATCTTTTGAATTTGGGTTGATAAAACAGTGGAGGTTCCTGGCTCCTCGAAACGCCAGGGTGTTAGGATAATTCCAATCCTCATCTGTTCTTTTGCATTCATTTCTTCTGTTTAATACAAGTAGTGCAGGACTTGCAATTGTGTCTTGAGTTGTGATTGATTGTGTGTTGGTTGATTTGTGTGAGAATTACTGTTGGTTGGGTGTATTTGATTGAATCTACAGGTGGTTGTATCAAAATCCAATGCTCAAACCTGTGTAAGATACAGAAGCTGTGTCTGTTGCTCTTGAAACATATTTTTTTCTTCAATCACTCTATTTTGCTGCCCGTGCACTGATGTATATTCTTCACACACTTCAATCTGAAGTTTTTGCAAATGATTTGTTTCTTCAATCACCTCATGTAGTTGATTTTGTGGACAGTTTTTCTCTTCATCATTCAACTCCACACTTGGCCCCTGTAACATCAAATTAAAAGAAAAGTGTTATACACTATATTAATGATAATGTCGAAAGGATAATATTCAGCCACTTTACAGAATCTTAAAAATTCAATGCTCTAACCTCTGTACGATACAGAACCTCTATTTGTTGTTCAGTAGCTTCAATGCCCTCTCTTAATGTTTCACTTTGTTCTTCAACTTCACATTTTTCAACTGCATGCTGTTGCTGTTCCTCAAAAACTACAATTTGCTTCTCCTTTACTTTGCTGTAATCATCAATTATTTCAAGTTCTTGCCTTTCAGCTTGACAATCTTGACAATCTTCTTCAAGTTTCTGTTCTGTCAAACAAGTTTCAGAAGCATTTGGAATACTTACTAATTGATCTTCCATTTGTCTTATATTCGTCCTCTCTCCCATTTCTTTCTCATCCTCAATATCACCATAACCAACACCAATCATGTACCGTCCATCATTTTTACGCACAATTTCCCCACTCTCACAAAGCCTCCTCAAATGATGACTCAAAAAAGCCACATGCCCACAAGGCAAGCCCTCAAATTCTTTCTCAATAAACCCTGAGATTGACTCCTCACTCGACCCCGCTTCCTCATTCAACTCTATAATTGCCGTTCGAATCATCTACTACACCCACCAAAAAGAAATAATAAAATGTGTAAAAAATTAGCTCACATAACAAATTTTACATTTCAGGTTTCAGAAATCCCATATATGTAACAGTATCCCCTTTAACCCACTGTAATACACCAAAAAAAAAACCTACACCCATCTTATTTTTTCATTACTTTTTAACATTAAATGCTAAAGTCAAGGAAAATATTGGTCCTAAAAGAAATGGTAGCACTTCCAGATTGCAAACTAAACTAAACCCAAGCGTCCTGGAAGTAGATTTCCAATTGAATCTAACCAAAATGAAGCCGTTGCTCCAGCCTCTAAAGAACTATCATAGAAAATTCTCAAGTAGAAGCGTCCTGAAATTTTTATGTGAACCAAGGGTGATGCGTGAGCTAGCGTCTGCCGTCTAGGCATTTACCTTTGTCGCAGGTAAAAAAATAAAAAATAAATTTCAGGACGTCCTGAAATATTTTATAGGTGGAACAAAAGTAAGTGACTAGATGCTAACTTCTAAAGGACGTCTGCACTAATGATTTACCATATCTATCATTTGTCGATTTTACATAAAAATTGTAGATATTTTGAGGCTCACATTTAGAGATAATTTTCCTGGTTACAAGCAACAAAAATTAAACAAAAGTGCACACTTCCATAACAGTATCAAACTGCATTTAATTCATTCACCCAAATTGAAAAACAAAATTTTGCTTCAGAAAGCAATAAGAACACTCTCAAAAAACAAACCAAAACAAACTCGAAACTCACCGAGGCGTAGGGAGGGTGAGTGGGAGTGTCAAAATTTTGAAACATTACATGTAATTTGTTTTCAATGTATGACTTGGCCTCCTGAGTTAGGGTTCCTGATGGGTTAGAGCCCGTTAGGGTTGTGAAAATGGAGTCTTTAAGCTTGCCCATAATGTGTTCGTGTCTTTGCTTAGCACAAGTTTGGTTTTTGCCATCTGGGTTTTGTGGAGGCAAGCCATGGAGCAGCCGACGTGACTCCATTCTTGCGAATTAACCAGAAATTAAACCTAGGGTTTAACACTAATAATGAACGGTTTCCGCATTTGGGGAAGAAAGATTACGAGATTTTTGTAAACAGGTTTTGAAAGAACGTAAAAGATTACAACTATTAAGGAAACTGTTACGTTAGGATAGTAAGAAAAAATTAAAGAGATTATTAGATCATAAAAGTAATATTGTTCTCAAAAAATAAATAATAAGTTATAAGGAGGAGTAATCAGTAATTTCATTCTGACTCTCTGCCTATCAATAATATAATTTCAAACTTATTTCCATGTTTAGTGATTGACCTCAATTAAGATATGATTAATCAAATTTTATAAAAGGAAATATTTTGAATGAAATAATAACATTTATTGAGATTATAATTAGTGGCTATCCTCATCATAATTTCATTTGTCAATATATAATCCAATTTAACAATCATAATCCAATGACTTAAAATTATTAAATTAATATTAAAAATAATCACTTCTTTAAGTACAATTTTTAGTATAAATTTACATCAAAAAATTTGAGAGCAATAGTGTTTTTTTTTTTTTTGGCTAAATACATTTTTGTCCTTGAGATTTAACATTGATCCTTATTAGTTAAGAATTGTCTAAAAGTTTTCGTATAAGTCTAAATTACCCCTAATGCTGTCACTGTTATCTAACAATTATGTTAAAAAATCAGAAGAATTATGTTAATTATAAGAAAATATAAATTAATAGACTAGGGGCATTTTAGCCTTTTAAAAAAAACTTCAAACACCCTTAACTAAGGACCTAAATGTTATTTCTAGAAGACCGGTTGCGGAGAATCCGTTGTCAATTGTGAAAGGGAAATCCTAGTTAGAATTTAGAAATAGGCTGGCTATCTACATGTTGCCTATCTCACAATTATTGATGCTTCAATGCCCAAACCACAAATAAATTCACAATCAATCCCTACCCGAAAAAAAACCCTAAAATGACATCTTTGGCACAAAGATTTTATTACAACGAAGCAACCATCTAATATCAAGTTCTAACTGCCACATCCATTTACAGAGAACAAACATCTACTGAACCAATTTTACGGGGCGCTATTGAGAACATGGACAAACCCTAGAAAATCAAACCCACACCATTCATTCATTCACCATTTCGTTGATTTACATTTTACCGCTTGTCCATTGTCATTGAGGTAAGGCCTGAAGGTTTTGATGACTTCCTCGTATGTCGGCCTCTTGTAGTCAACTGCCTGCAATTGATGATTAGCTTTGTGTTTTAGAGTTTAAGATGATAGGAAATGTTGTTAACATGATTTGGTATAAGTTTTTTGCGGAATACCTGCTCGATAACTTCATCAGGACTTGCCCATTTCCACTCTGCAAATTCTGGGTCTGTGTTTCCTATGTTGATCTCACTTTCATCATTTGTTAATCTCATTAGGAACCTGTCAGATTGTCAAAAGACGGTGTTAGGTCACAGATGAAGATGATAGGTAAAAGACATAAGGATGTTACATACGCTTTGTCCCAAGAATTGCATAGTCTCATGTAAGATGCCTATATAAATCTATTGTCAGATATAGATTTAAATCATGATATTCTTCAAATTAGAACTTGCACTTCTATCTAGTCCTTATCATCAACCGTGCATTTGGAAACTTGTCTTGGATCTAGGATATTGGCCAATGAGAAATAAACCTCCTTAAAGGGATTCAGCTAATGGTTAATGAGATTTTAAGGCAGCTTACTGCTTAGCTGATAAAGGATTAAATACTTCTGATTTAAACAGCCTAAGGTAAAGCGATTCTAGCAAAAATATTTTGATTTTACACCAAGGATTCTCCCTGGTTATAAAGTGGATCTAATTCCTATGCTCCTAATCCTAACGGAAAACTATACAAAGTTGCCCAGTCAAGTATCTGCCTTATGATTACATGGTTCTAATTGCCCAGTCTTGCACTTATTTGCTACTGTAACATTTTCAATAAACTTTGTCACCAACAACTTTTCTATTTTGAACTTGACAATTCATTACATCTTATCCCTTATTATTGTGGTAATTAAGAATAACACAGCCATACCAAATGTTACATGATCGTTTGAGCTATTTAGACCAACTTTGTTCTCTTTTATGATGCGAGTGGACATGCATGTGTATACATACGAGAAAGAGACACAAAAGAAGAATGAGAAACACAAACCACTTCTGTGCCTGCCCATGCCATTCACCTCCCCAGAGACGATTCACCTTGGCTTTCACAGCAGGAGGGAAGTCATAAGTCAACCAATTTGGTACCTGATATTATACAACATTGATTATACGTATGAACCAAAATAAGCCCACCCAAAAAAAAAAACAAAAGAGGGGAATTTTCAAGATTTGAAGTTTTCTATTCACACTTTTATAGGCAATTCAAGATGATCCAAATCTTTCTATGTTTTCAGGAGACTGCTCAATATCCAGTACCTTAATCATAGTGACACTGGAACTCAATATGAATGTCAAAGCAGCCACAATTAAGGCATTAAGGAAACGACTTCTTCAATTATTTCTTCTTCCTCTATTATCCAAATTATCATGCAAATATTTATCTTCAACAGAAAAAAGGCAATACTACAATTACAACCCAATCTCACGAACTTTCTCTCACAAACCCGACGTGATAGCTCGCAATTTATCAGCTCGCAGTGGGTCTCATATGTCAAATTGTGAGCTGTCACGTCGGGATTATGAGAGAAAGATTATAAGAATAGACTATGAGTCAATCTTTATTGACAAAAAAATAATGAAGAATACCTTTTGTATCTCTGTTCCTAAAACAAACATTATACACACTTCTTTTTTAATTACTCCCCCATTTTGCCAAATGAATACAGTTTCTATATGAGAATAATAGCCTAGATAGTTGACAGCACATTGATAGTACCACCCACAGCGGTCAAATTGCTTAAAAAGCTACCTACAGCATTAAAGCACCATCTTTCTATACAAACCTCAGCAATAATTTCAGCAGACACTACTCCAGTTTCTTCTTGCAGTTCCCTTAAGGCTGCAGACTTGGGCTCCTCGCCATCTTCTATAGCCCCCTGAAATAAAAAATACCATAAGCAATCAATAACAACTAAGCCAAAAGATGCACACACTACAGGGCAACCATTACAGGTAAATAACAGCACAAGGATGCAAAATTGCAAATGAATTCATCATCTCTAAGCAACTAAAACCAAAATTCTTCTGCTTAGTCACATAAAATTCGAAATTATCTCAACAAGAATCTCTAAATAACTCAATTAAACAGATCCTCTGCCACTTTCCCTCCTAGTACCCAAGGAAATTACAATATTTCTACTTAAATTTAAGTTATTATCGGTCTCGTTACTCTACAGAAAATCACAATTGTTACGATTATAAAGTTCCAACAAATAAAAATTATTCTTAAAAAAAAAAAAAGGTAACGTTACTGATCACGGTACCTAGCATTTACCTCATACTCATATAATACAAGAAAAAGACTGGTAATAAATTGTCAGTTTTGTTGTTTTAATATTTTTCCATAAATTATAATAAAAATAATGAATAAATAAATAAATAAAAACAAAAATTGCATCTAACAGAAAAACTACCTGAGGCATCTGCCAGGCTCCTGGAACATTCAACCTTGACGCCACAAAAACCTATCAAATCCAAAAATCAACAAAATCTTCATCACATCACATGCGAAAAATACATCATACATACATGACATGTCATGTCATGGCATAAACATGAAAGTATTTAAAAATCGGCGGGGGAATCGAGTAATTTCCGACTTTTCAGAGCTTGAAGTGAAGGAAGAACCTGAGTGTCAGAGTTGATGAGACAGACGCCGACGTGAGGGCGGTAACCAGAGGGAAGGCCCTCCATTGATGACGTTAACTAACGGAGAGAATTTAGAAACAAAACAAAATTACTGTGCTCTGTCGAGACGAGATTAGCTGAAGGAGAGAAAATTGAGATTGAAACGAAGAAGAAGAAGAAGAAGAAGAAAGGGAGAATAAGAATTTTTGAAAAAGAGAAAAATAAAATAAAAATAAAAAATGAAAAAGGTAAGTGACTGACGCTCGCTGACTAAGGGACAAACGGCTGACTCTTTTTATAGAGAGAAAAAGTGCGTGCTCTCATTCTCAAGTGCTGCGACTCTTATCCTGCGCACCCTCTGTCTTCACTCAGGTTTTTTCTTATTTTATTATTCCGTTAAAGTGGGTGGGGGATGTTGAGGTAGGTGAGTCCTCATTTGGTCGTGATGAACCTCTCCAGCTATTTTTATTTTTATAACACACTGACAGTCTGACACTATTTAGGATGAGTAATACTTCAGTTAAATAAAAAGAATATAACATGTTCTTATTAAGTAAAATATTAACTAAATAATTTTCTATATGGTATTTAAGAAGATGATAATATTAGTTCAGTGAATCACATGATAAACATTGCTATAAATTTAAAGTAGAAGAAGAGAATAGAGCTCAAGGTAAGTAAACTGTGGGCGGGTGCCGAGAATTAGGGCTAAAAGAGGGGGGAAGAGGCGGCGCATGATAGCAAATAGGGAAGGGGGAGGATGATGTATTGAATGAGCGAACACGCGGAAGAAAAAGTAGAAAAACAAAAAGTAGTGGGCGAGAGGAGGCGTTGACTTTGAGCAAAGAGAGTACAGGAAAAAAAAAAACTCACATCAATCTAAACCAACAGCATCTTTCTTTTTATGATGATGCACATTAATCCTCATTAACACCCCCAATTTAAAATATATCCATTTTTACCCTACTCGCAGCTTCCCAGGGCGTCTTTTCCACTCTATTGCTGCACACGTGTCCCTCTCACTCTCCGCCACTTAATTTTGTTTAATTTTCTTATAAATTAATTTTATTTTTTTCCTTTTTTCTTTAAGTAATAATTATAAGCCTCGAGGAAATTTTCAAACTCCGTGCCCAATCCATGTTTCTATAATTATTTTTCACCAATAAATTTATTCATATATTATTGAAGACAAATAGAATACAGTTGTAAAATTTCATGTATTCATACTCGCAGTTCTCCAGCGCGTGGTCAACAAGCCGCGTACGTGTCAACCTCAGTCCTCGGGTATTGCAAGTTATATATTGGATCAAGTGCACGATTTTAAAATTATTTTATGAAAATCTCGTTGCTTTCAAAATGGTTTATGTATTTTTTTATTCTTAGTTGTGTTACATATTTAGATTTATAAAATGTCACGTAAAAAATTAAATTGAGTTACCATTTACAATAAAACATGCTTTGCATTATATTTAAGTATTTCAATTTTATAAATATAAAAATTAGTTTTAAGGAATATAGAATTTAAAGTAGAAATTAATTAATTTTTTTACTCCATTTGTTTTTGGAAAAAAAATGAAGTCAAGATGTATATTGTCAATCTAAGGTGTGAATTTTTCAAAGTTTTAAATGCAAACCAAAGGTTAGTAACTAGTCAATACTTGACAAAATGCAAAAACTAAAGTCAACAGCCAGTTGTTTTCTATACATTAAGAACTTTGGGATGTTTGCATTTGAGAATTTTGATTCATAGTATATAGTCAATCGGACATTTTGAAATATACTTGACAAAATGCAAAAACTAAAGTCAACGGCCAGTTGTTTTCTATACATTAAGAACTTTGGGATGTTCGCATTTGAGAATTTTGATTCATAGTATATAATCAATCGGACATTTTGAAATTTTAAACGTGAAAACTATTAATGGCTTCGCAAAATACTTTTCTACTCTTTGAAATATTTATACCGTTTAAATTTTTATATTTTGGTTTTGTAAAAGATTTTTCTTAAAATATATTACAAATTTTATTTTTTTTTGTTAACGAAAATGTTCAGGCCAGTTTATACATACCTAAATTAATTCTCAAAGTAAGTTATCCCATGACAATCCATCATCGCGACCTCCTAAGTAAATCATGAACAAATGCTATGTTTATATCCAATAGAGAATCGAACTTGAGATTGTAAATTAAAATCGTGCACAACCGCTTGATTTGCCTGTACCAATACTTTCCTAAACATTAAAAATAATTTAGTTTCATTTTTACTGTTTAATTTTCTAAAGTAAATTTTGTAAGACTTTTGCTTTTGATATCATTATATCATTTGTCGAGAATGGAATAAAAATGATTATAATACGGTTAGTTTTGAACTTTATTCTATTTTTTACGTGTAGAATACGTAAGGCTTGCAAAATAATTTAAAAATAAAATATGCGATTCTCATTGCCCTTTAATGGGTGTTTTATTATAATTATTTTATTTGCACTTGTGTTAATGCATAGATTTTAGGGGGCCCATTAAAATTGAGATTGGATTTTATTGGGAGCTCAAATTAGATCAGATCAGATTCGATTTGATTTTGGTTGTAATCTAGCTATATTTATGAATAAATCATTTTAGTATTTTTCAATATTTACAAGAAACATGCTACAAATTATTAATAGACATAGATGAAAAACTATATATTTATATTAGAGCTTCATGTAGCAAATATCAACAATAGAGACATTAAATATAAACACCTTTGGCAAAAATTAAATGTATGTTAGATTAATGCATTTCAATGGTTAAGATTGTATTTAAATATGATATATCTAAAGTGTATTAATTATGTAAATTTTATTGAATATCAACGATAAAAAATGTTTTGATCTAGTAGCTTAAACATTGTGTTATATTCTAAGTAAAAAAAAAAGGTTATCGAACCCTCCCCTTATTTGTTTTAATTCACAAGCATGTAATGTCCTATGTATGTGTATTTCATCATACAATAATAAGTACGGTTTTTTGTGAAAAGCATAACCACTTTTAGTAACGGGTGCATATGCAATGTACACAATACATCGTGAAAAGGTTTTAACAATGGACATTAACGTTGTCGAAACCATATTTTCTCCTTGTGTCTAAAACACAACTCATGCAAGTATGACTTTCATAATGTCGTGTTTTTGACATTAAATATTTTTAATGTTATATAGAGGGAGGACCCATATTGCTAGCAAATGAAAGCAAGACTCTAGAATACAATTCCAATATCTTTGCGTAAGTTAGTTTATAAACTTTGCATCTCCTTAACTGGATAGAAGCGTTTTAGATGGAAAAACACTTATGTAAACTGGAAAGACAAATCTGTGTATGTTAATCTCAAAGTAGATAACATCTACTCCGTCCGTCAAGCAATATCGTTACCTATAGAGTTAACATATACAATAATAAAAAATAAAAAAAAGTAGATTAGAATTGATTGATTGAAATTTATGATGATAACACAATTGGGGTAGGGAGAATGATGGGTGTTTTAGATGATGCCTAAAACTTAATTATAATTCAAATAAAAATTTAATATTTTATCCTTAAAAGATGATCTTAGTCAAAAGATTAAATAGAGAATAACATCATTAGATTAGGTTTAATTATATGAAAGCACTTTCGACTTTTTTAATTTCTTCGTCACGATACAAAAGTCTTATGTGTTTTCCTTTAGTTATAAGAACATTCAAAAATATATTAACTAGAGGTCAACTTTGGTTAATTTCTTTTGTCATGATTAATTTTATAATCTGGTCAAAATATATCATATTGTTAAGGTTTTTATTAATTTAAATTAGATTAATCTATCCAAATTTAATTTGATTCAATATTTAATATATTGTACATTATTAAATATGTCCACTTTAAATTTATTATATTTTGTTATGCCGGAAAAAGTAGCGCTGACGTGGAGCCTCGTCAGTAAAGGATGGTCAGAGTTTAGAAGGGTTTTGTGCCGTTCAGGTGTGGCCATGTCACGCCTAGCGCAAGTGGCATGGCTTCTGTTAGTGTAGCAGGTAAGTGCCAGGCTAACAAGCGGCTGGAGATCGCCCACGTGTCAAAGCCCTGCTTTAATCGAGGAAATCCCTCGAGCAAATGATCAATAGGACGCAAATAAATTATTTGCATGACACCTACCCACTTGCAGTTTTCATAATCATTACCTTGAACTTTCCCACTATAAATAGATGACTTCCCTCTCATTTGTGGGGGGTTAGCTGATTTTACGCCGAAATAGTTCTCTCTCTCTCTCTCTCTATAAACTGTAACTCAGCTCATTGAACGCGATCTGATCACTCTCTCTTATCAATACAATAGCAGTGGACGTAAGATTCGCTTTAGAGCATCCGAACCACTTTAAATATTGCTCTTCACTTTTTATTTGATTCAATCTTCTCATATCACGTATGACTTCTAAGTCATTTTAGCATTTTACAGGTGCGAGTAGCTGATGTCAAAATCAAGCATCAACATATTTATACATTATTTTCAATATTACATCCTATCTAATTTATTGTTTGAAATATTAATATATAGCATACATTTGCAATATTTATAAAACAATGTTTTATTATAAGTTTGATATTTAATACTAAAGTTATGATATTCCTAATTACATAGAACAAAAAATTTAAACAACTAGCCTTGCAATCGGATGACAAAACTTAAGCTATTTGGGTAGGTTACTAAGAGGTGTTTGCATCAAAGTCTCACAAAGTAGTCACCTACTATATTTGCGTCTTACCATATTTATTGGGCTTGTAGGGTATTTAACGAATTCTGAAAATTAATTAAAGTATGTGCAAGTTGGTCCAGACACTCTGATTATAAAAAAATAAAAAAAATTTGTTGAAGATAATTGCACATGCCAAAGTTCCAAAATCAATGCTATCCAGAAATGTTGAGACGAAATGTCTCAACAACTACACATGATGTATTGAAATTTCAAAGCATGGAATTGGAATAGATAAAGAGAAGAAAGTCGCAATAAGGGTGCTAGAGAGATAGTGGGAGACATTTGTTACTATTTTATAAAATTTTCAATTTAATAATAATTAATATATTTGGGTTGGAATCCATTAAATTTTAATTTTAATTTTAATATTTTTATTACTTTAAAAACCATGACCAAACTGTTCATACTATTAATCCCGTGATAAATACTTTAATTTAAAAAAAAAAAAACTTAATTAAACCCCTCAAGGTTGGTGTGAGGGAGATTGACCCAGAAATTATTATTCATTTGAG